TCTTGCTCCACCACCTCTCCTCCCTCCACCTTTGGATTTGCCAGTGGCCAGGGGCCGAAGCTGGCCTGTTTGGGAGCCCCCGAGCCAGGTGCCCCCGTGTCCCGGCTACAGTAGGAAATTGACAAGGAGAAAAATTAGGACGGGACTAGGCTCCGGTGCCTCTCGGACCCCCGGCGCGGGCAGGGCGCCGCCCAGGTCAGGAGGTTCCCCGTGCGGGTCACAGCCCCAAACACGGGGCCCCGGCTCGGCTCCGACCGCCGCTCCGCCACTGGTCAGCGCTGGCCTTGGCCTGTGTGCTCTCTCTCCAGAGCCTCGACGCCCCCAGCTGTGAAGGGCGCACCGCCGACCTGCTCTCGGGGCTGTTGGGAGAGTTAGGGGGAATAACGAAGACAAGGCGCGGGCAGGACGCAGGACGGGCCAGCCGGTTCCTCCTCCCGCTGCCTCCCCCGGCCCCGGGAGGTCGCCCCGCGCCCACGGCCGCTCCAAGGAGGCGAGCGGGCCCCGCCTGCTGGCCGACTCCGGGACTGCACCTCGCCCGGGGTCAGAGGGGCGCCTCCTACTCCAATCTCCGTCCCGGCTCCGTGGGTGAGCGCCCCAGGGCCTTCCCGCCACCCCCATCTTTTTTTTTTTTTAATTTTTATTTATTTATGACAATCACACAGATAGAGAGAGAGGCAGAGACACAGGCAGAGGGAGAAGCAGGCTCCATGCACCGGGAGCCCGACGCGGGATTCGATCCCGAGTCTCCAGGATCGCGCCCTGGGCCAAAGGCAGGCGCCAAACCGCTGCGCCACCCAGGGATCCCTCGCCACCCCCATCTTGTGCTGGGGACTTTAATCACCCGCCCCCGCTGCTCCCGAGGCTGCCCCCGCTTGGCGCGCCCTCCCCGCGGCCTCCGGGCAGCAGCAAACGCCGCCCCTCTGAAGCTTTCTCGCCCCCCCCCCCCAGCCCCGCCGCCCCTGCGGAGACAATTATGGCAAAACTCTCTCCTCCATATTTTCCCAACATTCCGACTTAACTTTCGGTTTGCTAAACCGTGAGCGAGGGAGCACTAGAACCAGGGAGACTCACCTGTGCTCGGGGACAGCCTTATTCAGCTGCGGCCAGAGGCATTTTCTAACATCCGAATCCTGAAACCCTCCCCCCCTCCCCTCCGCCGCTGGAAGCCCCTCCCGGACTCTGGGTGGGGGTGGGGCGAGATGCCTGTGCTCTGGATTTTCTAGTATTTCTACAGGAGCCTGTCTCTACTAACTCTGCTATTCCTTCCTCCCTCCTCCCTCCTCCCCTCTCCTTCTTTCCTCTTCCTTTCTCTCTTCTTTCTTTTTTAAAACAATCTACGGAAGGGCACCTGGGTGGCTCAGTGGTTGAGCGTCTGCCTTTGGCTCGGTCGTGATGCCGGGGTTCTGGGATCGAGTCCCACGTCGGGCTCCCTGCATGGAGCCTGCTTCTTCCTGTGTCTCTGCTTCTCCTTCTGTGTCTCTCATGAATAAATAAAACCTTAAAAAAAGGAGGAGGAGAAAAAAACACCTTGCGTAACTTGAAACTTTCCAATTGCCCAGCGAAGCTTAGGGGTGGGATCTGGCCTCCGCCTTTCTGATTCCCTGCTACCCCTACCGGCCACCCCCACAGTTCTGAGTCCTTCCCTCTCACGCAGTTTCCTCTGCCTGGAGAAGCTTGATCCACACTCCTCCGTATGGCAATTCCCTACTAGTTCTTCAGTGCTCAGCTCAAACGTGTCAAATGCCGTCTCCCTGACCCCTGACCTTGCTCTTCTCTACTGTCCTCACCCTGTCTGTCCTTCCACTAAAGCGCTCAGCCGGTGACAGCACCACTAGTGTGTGTGCACATGAGTGCCTCCTTCCAGAAGGCAGGCCTCTTGCAGACAGGGTGGTGCACTTCTGCGTGCCTGGTCCCACATTTCCATCCATGTTAGTTGCAAGAAGTGGGTCCCCACTGTCATGGTTTGCTCACAAGCAAAACGAAGGATCCAGACAGGATCTCATAAGTCCTTTGGACTCTAGAATTCTGATTTGCAGCTAGAGGACATATTTTAAGCAAGCTGTCACCAAAAGCTAATTTTAAGCCAGAAACACCTGGAGAAATTTTTTTTTTAGATTTTATTTATTTGTGAGAGACAGAGATAGAGCAGGGGGAGATGCAGAGGGAGAGGGAGAAGCTGACTCCCGCTGAGCACTGAGCAGGGAGCCTGATGTGGAGATTGATCCCAGGACCCTGAAATCATGACCTGAGCCAAAGGCAGATGCTTAACTGACTGAGCCACCCAGGCACCCCGGGGTAGGTTGCCTCCTGTCCACAGGTGTCTTTCACCACAGGGTTCACCACCCACTCTCACCCTGGGAAAGGGAACAAAGGTCATCCCCTCCCTCCTTAGTGGATGGCCCATGAGTGGGCACAGGCCTCTGGGGAAACCTTGCAATTGCTTCTCCTCCAGAGTAGGTCTGTGTCCCAGGCTTGGGAGATACTGTGTCCCACAGCAGTGTCGTGCTCACTAGAGTGATAACCATCTGCCAGGCCTTGTGGTGAACAGGAGGGGCTTATCCACCAGAGGTCCCATCTAGAGCTGCATTAAGGGCGAGAGGCAGCTGAGCCCGTCTGCAGTGCTCATCTTTGAGAGGCACTACAACATGACTGGGATGAATCGGACATATGGTGCCAGGTGAGCCCTACACACATACACACTCCTTTGTGTCACGGAACTACCAAAGTCCTGCTTCCACTAAAGTCAAATGGGCACTTGCAGGGAAAGGTGGAACTTGGCAGGTGTGGATATTCTCTGCTGAGTTTTTGAGACAACACTGCAAGTTTCCCTCTGTGACTCAGATTCTGAAACCAAATAACACACACTATAGGCTCCCTCACCAGGAAGGGTTTACTTTATTATTTAAACTAGATCTAAGCCCACATGTAACTTGCAGTAAGTTGTTCAGGTCAGAAAACTTTAACTCCAAAACAAACCTAGGCACAGAAGGAGCTCCGGCCTACTGAGCACGATGGTGGGTGTGCTACCCCTAGGCCAAGCACGTCCCTCACCCTCACACCTCCCGGAAGTTGTGGAAGCCCACGCTCAGGCTCTGGATTCAGACTAAAGTTTTGCTGCAGTGGGATCACAGGGAAGTTTATCTGTTTCTCGTCTGTAAAGTGGGGATAAAAATAGGCTTCCCCTTAGGCCTGTGGAAGTTAAATGACTTGCTGTAAATGGTGGGCAGGGTGGACAAGTGCTGGGTGAAGGACTGTGGGGAGCACTAACACATCACCTTCACTACAGTACAAGGGAGGTGTCCTGGTAAGATGGGGACCCTCATCTTTACAGAAGATAACAAGTCAACTTCTTACACAGCTCAGACCTTATGGATCCCTGTTTCTTCGCTGGCTGCTCCGGCCCCAAGGCCACACTCTCAGCCCAAGTGATCTGGAAGCTAGTTGGCATCTTCACCACAAAGCCACTCCCTGCCTATGAGGTCCTGCTGTGCAAGACACACACATGTGATCCAAACTCTGGCTGAAACCCCTACAAACCTACACAACTTGAGCCTCCTGAGCTGGAGAGCTGGTGGGCAGAGCAGCCGGAGGCAGAGAGCTGGCGACTCATGCAATGCCCACCTGGGACGGGCGCCCTGAAGCCCAGGCTCCTGGTGTCAGTTCTGCAGCTCTGCCTCCTGGTGAAGGGCACCAGGCACCTCTTAACCCACTTTGCTCAGTGAGGCTTCAGTCTGGGGACTGGAATCTCTAATTAGAATTTCCACATTCAGCAGGGGGCATCTTTATTTGTGGCAATAAAATGGGGCCAGAGCATCACCTCCCAAGCCCGATTAGTTGTACCTCTGACAAACATTCCCTGATGGTAGCGGGAATCCTTGATGTCGACAAATCACAGACTGCACGAAATGACAAAAGTTACGTTTAATTTACAATGTAATAAAGGTTACAGGTAAAAAGCTACACATAAAGCGTGAAAAGGCCTATTACACAAATGTACAAATCTCTGTACAAAGCTCATATCACTGTTTGCTACCTTCGTCTCCTACGTTTGTTAGCTGGGCCGAGTCCTGGAGCTCTGGGTTAGGAGAGCTCTCAGTAGAGGAGGGGAGAGCCTCTGAACCAACACTTAAAAATGTCCTCTTAAAGACATCAGTTACCTGCAAAGTAAAATCTTTTCCTTTTTAATTGGAATTGCTGCTCTAACTGGTCATATCCTTAAAAAATTGCCTTCACAACACACTTGAAAAGGAAAGCAACACCTTAGAGGACAGTACTCTGGGATCAAACACGAAACTTCGGCAAGTAGAGCACTCAGGTATGACAAGAGAAACAGGTGAAGTGCCAACAATACTCAAGTTTCAAACTACCCACCCATGTCTATGGGCGCTGGTCACAGATGAAGGAAAATCAAAACGTTCTCATTCCAACAGAAAGGACAAAAGAGAAAAAAGCCTAACTATTGGACCTCAAAACCAGTGACTTAGGCAAACATAGAGTCGAAACCTTAGTTTAACTAAAGAATTCTAAAAACCCTCTTCTGACCGACCTGGGATCCATGGCAACCCCCCCTTCGCTATTCTGGGACTTATAGGGACAATAAACAGAAATCAGGCTGCTGGACCCACAGGCTGGTTGATGCTGCTGCCACCGCCACGGCTCTAGATCCCACCTGAGGGCCTGGAGTTTCCCCCAACGCTACGTGACTTTAAATCAAAATGACCCTAGAACGAGGGAGAAAAGAAAAGGAGGTAATGGAAGGACTGGGAAAGAGCCAGGGCAGCCTACCTAGCAGGAAACAGGAAATACTGCTCTATACTCAAAGTGTTCTGAAGACAGGTCTTTATGGGATATTTCAACCCACCCCCAGCTTTAATAGTACATGGTTAGGGCCCCAGGAGACATTCTGAAAGACGAGACCGCACACATGGAAAGTTTTTCTCCCTAGTTCATTAGCTCCCCCCTCACCCTTCCACCCAATTCCCACCCAATCCCACCCTTCTCCATGACCAAAAATATCAAATCAGTAAGGAAGGTGTGGGCTTCTTGCCCGGCCAAGCCTCTTTTGCATATTTTTTCTTCTTGGGTTCGTTGACGGCTTCGGGGTTATAGACTGCAGGGTTTGGTGCAGGGTTCATGTTCACTGCTGACGGCACGACGGGAGTCAAGTCCACGTCAGGGGCGAGGTTCGGGTATGGCATGGGCAAGCCACCGATGAGTGCTGTCCCGTGGATACCATGCGGCTGGGAGCCAGCTTCACTGTGTGTGGGGGGCAGGCCCCCGTAGAGTCCTCCACTGAATGCAAAGTTCTGCATGCGCCTGCTCCCCGATTCCTCCAGGCCCAGGGAGCCAGGGCCTTCCACCCGCTTCTTCTGTGGTTCAGAAGGAACAAAGGAGGCAAGAGGTGAGGCACAAGAGGGTGTTAGTTAGCCTTCTTTAAGCCAGCCCTAGAAACTTGGGAGAAGGCCCCAATCCCTTGGCTTGCTCTTCCCAGGACAACTTATTTCACTATCCTGAAATCTCAGGGTCTGAAGAGATGGGACAGTTGTTGTCTAACATGGTGGCCCCCAAACACTGCTCCCCACAAAGGGCTCACCATCCTGAGAAAAATGAAGACAATGTATAAGCTTTTCATAAAACTTGTCCAGTTTAAGTGATTGCTCTTTATCTTAAGGTCATAGCCTCTCCTTTTGACATTAAAACACCCTTTTAGGAAGCAGAGGTGATAATAGGTGATAGTTAAGTACTTAAATAAAAAGTACCTTGTTGACTGCCTGATTTTTAAACATTAATCTGAAACGAAAACAAATCTGCAGTGATGGGAAGTAGTTTATTGGGTGCCGGGGGCTGACAGCAAGAGAACATAAGGGAACTTTCTGGGGTGATGTAAATCTATATATGAAGTATAGTGGTGGTTATCCACATGTATATATTTGTCAAAACTTAAACTATAAACTTAAAATGTATGCATTTTATTGTATATAAATTATATCATAATAAAATTTACAAACAAGTAAAAATATCTGCTGGTTTTATACTTTTTTAAAAAAGTAATCTCTACACCCAAAGTAGAGCTCAAACTCACGACCCTGAGATCAGGAGTCCCATGCTCTACTGATCAAGCCAGTCAGGTGCCTGCCCCGATGCTGGTTTTATACTTTTTTGGGTTGGTGGAGAGAGGGGTCAAGGGAGAGAAGAAATCATAGGCAGGCTCCCGACTAGGGGCTCAATCCCACAACCCTGAGATCATGACCTGAGCTGAAATCAAGAGTCAGACACTTAACTGAACGAGCCACCCAGGAGGCCCTGGTTTTATACTTTAATGACAACAGAACATTTCAAAGGAAGAAGCAAAAAGAGAAAAAGAGCTCTAGGAGAAATGTCACATGAATGCTATGAAGATGGGAAAACATTCCATCTGTACTTTTTCACACTGCCTTATGAATGTTCACACAAGATCCCCCTCCACCCTCTACCCCTTTTGGATTAAAAAAGACTAACCAAAAATTTGACATAGTTAATCAATCTAGTTTGATACAGTCCATAAAGATTTTTTTTTTTTAAGTAGGCTCTAGGGACGCTTGGGTGGCTCAGTGGTTGAGCATCAGCCTTTGGCCCAGGGCATGATCCCGGAGTCATGGAATCTAGTCCCACATAGGACTCTCTGCATGGAACCTACTCCTCCCTCTGCCTGTGTCTCTGCTTCTGTCTCTCATGAATGGATAAATAAAATCTTTTTAAAAATAAATAAATAAATAAATAAATAAATAAATAATAATAATTAATTAATTTTAAAACAAACAAACTAGGCTCTACCCCCAGCATGGAGACCAATGCAGGGCTTGAACTCACAACCCTGAGATCAAGACCTGAGCCAAGATCAACAGTTGGACACTTAACTGACTGAGATACCCAGGCACCCCTGAGGTTTTTTTGTTTTTTGTTTTTTTGTTTTAATAAACCTTTCTATAGTACATCTGACTAGCACATCTGACTAGCATCTTCCAATCACTTCCTGAATATCTCTAATTCCCAAGGATCTCACTACTTTAATGGGCCATCTGCTCCCTTTGGACAGTCTACATTGTCACATAATTCCTCCACATGTTGAGCAATCAGACCATCTCTGTAACTTCCACCTCTTGGTTCTTCAACACACCTGATCTTTCAGCCTAATCCAGATCTGGGCTGCCTTTCCTATCTGTGTCATTCCCAATCACAACACAAAGGCATGGCCAAAGCTGGAGGTGCTGTGCAGAAATGCAACAATGCCTCTTCCTCGCCTAATAGCTTACTTGGAGTCAGAAGGGAAGGCTTAAAAAAAAGTGGGCCTCTCTGCACCCTGCTGGGAGGTAAGCTGAGACTCCCAGCACACCATAATTTACACGCAGCATAAAGCTGGCTGGTCACCTGCAGTCTTTCTATGGCATTCCAGATCCCCTAGATTCAGGTGGAATGAAAGTATTTCCACATGATGAAAAATAGGAGAAGAGCAAAGAATGTGTGTTGTTGTTTCTTAAGATTTTATTTATTTGACTGAGAGAGAGAGAGAGAAAGAAAGAGAGAGAGAGAGAGAGTGCACACCCATGTGCATACAAGCAGGGGAAGCAGCAGGCAGAGGGAGAAGCAGACTCCCCACTAAGCAGAGAGTCCCATACAGGGCTCAATCTCAGGACCCTGGGATCATGACCTGAGCTGAAGATAAATGCTTAACCAACTGAGCCACCAAGGTGCCCTATAGAGAACGTGCTTTAAAACTAACATTTACCTACATGTAATAGAGTGGGTTTTTAAACTAGACTGTATGGCATTTCAAATCCTGTTACAATGTGCTTCCTACCTTGACGGGGACCACAGCAGTCTGCACCATGTTCCGGAAGCGACCGACTGAGGGATCCACATCCTCTGAAGAAGACACAAGAGGTGGGTTAGTTTGATACTCTGCTGGGAAGATTAAGGCAATAGGGCCCACTGCAAACAAAGTAATCACAACTCATATTAAAACAGTAAAATATAGCTAACACTTCAAGTGCTTACTGAGTGCTGGCACTGCATTAAATCCTCACAACTCCACAAGATGAGGACTACTAGAGTCAACATCTAACATCTAACAGACATGCTCAGGCATGGAGGAGTGAAGTGCCTGGTCCAGTCACCATGCAAGATTCAGCATGACTCCCCAGCAGACTCCCCAGTATGATTACTGGACAGACCAGGATTTGAGTCAAAGCAGTCAGAAACAGGCCTGGGCTCTGGACCACTGCAGTGTACTGCCTTCCCAAGTTCTTTCCTATTCCGTATATGTCCCTCTCTGAAGGAAGAAACCAAAGAGCAGATTTCATCAATCCCATGTTAGTGATAAAACAATGACATGTGACACATGAGCAGCAGTCACATACCACGCACCTTGACGATGCCCACTGCTCATTACCAAACGATAGAAATTGAGATTCAGACCCAGGGCTTCCAAGTTAACTGGCCTTCCGACCTGAACAACTGTATACAATCAAGACAGGGGATCTGAAGCCCCCTGTCTGGGCAGAATGGGGAGAAGCTCCTTTTCACAAGTTACACACACGTTATTGTGTCCTACAAAGTTTCTAGCCTCATTCACTGCAGGAAGAAAGGGACATGCTTGTAACTCTCTCATGCCTCATTTATTGCACATCAAGCACAGGAATAAAGAGCAAGATACTGTCCTGCCTTTAAGGAGTTTACAGTTGAAAAGCTGGGCAGGCTACAGTACAATGGAGGGGGCAAAAGTGTTCCTGGAGTACAGAGGGGACAACTGGGCTGGATCACCTAGGATGACCAGGACCTTTCTCGATGAAGGCTGAAATCGTGGAAACGGGCAGGTAAAATTACTATCATTAATTTAAAAACTACTCCAAGCCCCCTTTGTCTTAATATAGTGATGGAAAGGAGCAGTTTCCCTTATAGGGGCTGTAGATCTTATTTTAAATGCAGAAAGGGTGTCTGCTATTCAAAGAAACACTCCTACGAATCCCTTTGGAAAACAAAGATTCATTATTTGAATAATTAATCCCTGGCTTATTTAATAAGTCTGGTTTTTCACATATTAGGATGCCTCCAAAGAATATACCCTGGCATTACATTCACAACAAATCTTTGTTCAGTGAATGAACAAATGAATGACTTTTATATGAAGAAAGAAGACCCAGGCTCCTTAGGAAAGAGATGAGGTTTCTATAAAAGGCATCCTTACCTTTTTTCTCATCCCCATAGGAGCCCTGTTCCAATCATCCCTTCAGCAAGGAAAGCTAAATGAAGCACAATAGCAACCGGAGCCCAAGAGGAGTGGCTAATGGAGTATGCACTCCACATGTTCAGCAGGCCTCTGGAGAGGTGGGGCTAACTCTCTGAGGGCTCCTTGTCCTGTGCCGTGCTGGCTGAATGGTGCTTAGGCTTCTCACCTTCTCCTCATGTTTAGTCATTCCACTCCAAGAAAGAGGATACACCCATTTCATGAGATGTCTGCCCCCCAAAGATCTACTGACAAATTCCCTGCTAAGTCTACTTCTGGTATAGGAAAAGGTTGTGTGGATAAAACACAAAAGTGGTAATTGAGGACAATGGGGATAATGGCTAACATTTGCCAAGGGCTTACAGATTGCCGAGCACTGATCTAAAGTATCTGTACATTTGTACATATATTAATCGTTTAGCCTCATCAATCTTGTGAGGCCAATATCTGTTCAGTTACTTGGTCAAGGTCACAGAGCTACTAAGTGGAAAGGTCCATTTCACACTCAGGTCCTCTTAACGGCTATGTTAGGCTCTGTCTGAATACACATTCTGCTCCATTCTGCAATAATTTTTTTTCTTTTTTTTAATTTTTTTTTTTTAATTTTTATTTATTTATGATAGTCACACACAGAGAGAGAGAGAGAGAGGCAGAGACACAGGCAGAGGGAGAAGCAGGCTCCATGCACCGGGAGCCCGACGTGGGATTCGATCCCGGATCTCCAGGATCGGGCCCTGGGCCAAAGGCAGGCGCCAAACCGCTGCGCCACCCAGGGATCCCTCTTTTTTTTAATTTTTAAAAAAGATAGATGATTATTTATTTACTTACTTATTTATATGTATTTATTTTTATTTGAAGGGAGGAGAGAGTGTAACCACAGTGATGGCAGGGACAGAGGGAGAGAAATGCCAGCAGACTCCACACTCAGTACAGAGCCCAACAAAGGGCTTGATCCCACGATCCTGAGAACACAACCTGAGCCCAAACCAAGAGTAGGATGCTTAACTGACTGAACCACCCAGGTTCCCTCAGGGCAATAATTCTCAAAGAGAAAAACAGAGCAAATCAGACTCTGAGTTCTGAAACATATTTAAGATTGACCAGTCCAGTGATTCCCAAATTGCTGGCTATTCATCAGTACAAATAAGAGCTTGTTTAAAACTATAAATTTTTAGGTCCAACCCCTGGGAATTCTTATTCAATAGGTTCTGGGGCCCAGGAATAAATTTCCCCAATAGGTCACTCAGCCCCTGCCTAAACACTTCCGTTGGGCATTCACTGCCTGGAGAGTAATCCTCTCTATCCACACACCAAACGAAGGAACGCCTTGATCTTTCATAGGACTCTTTTAAATTCTTCTAAATATAAGAAGGATTTGTTGTTGCCTTTTTTTTTTTTTTTAAGGTTTATTTATTTATTTATTCAGAGAGAGTGAGAGAGAGGCAGAGACAGGCAGAGGGAGAGGCAGGCTCCGTGCAGGAAGCCCGACATGGGACTTGATCCTGGGTCTCCAGGATCACACCCCAGGCTGCAGGCGGCGCCAAACTGCTGCGCCACTGGGGCTGCCCTTGTTGCTTTTTATGCTGAGCTAAATACTTCTACTCACTGGCTTTGTCTTTGTCTATTCCTTTTCCTCTCAGGTCAGTCCTGCAAATATCCAAACTACAGTGGCTGTGCCTCCTCAAGCATGGCTCCCCTACATTCTCAGCATTTGGGGGATGGTTTTCCATAGCTGTGAGTTTCCTCCTCCCTCAGGACTACATAACACATTTGGTAGTTGAGGCCGCACTTGCATTTGGTAACCCATTTGGGTGAAGTCTGCCCAGAACATAGGTGAGTGGGGTTACTGTCTATTAATGCAACTTTACTCTTCTATTAATGCAACTTTAAACTGCACTTGATTAGTTTCCACATCCCCCTGATGACTCAGTCAATTAACTAAACTCCCTAGATCATTTTTTCCCCAGGAGCTATCACTGGAATGGATCTTCTGCATTTAAATAATTGATATTTTGAACCTAAATGCAAGACCTGAAAGTTATTCTCATTGTATTTCATTTGGGAAGTAAAACAACTTGTTAGTTTGGGATCCTTGTTTCCATCCAATGAGACTGACTTCAAACAAGGTTTTCGGAATCTCAATTCTATCCTCATCATACAAACGATACCTCCTGGCTTGATGTCATCTACCTACCAGAGAACTTGACATACTATGTGAGCCCAATAAATGGATGTTGAATGATGGAACAAACTGGTGAACTTGATGACCTTTCCATAAGCAGATGCTCTCTCAGTTTGCTGACATTTCCATACAAACTATGCATTAAATCCTTACAGAGAGGCAAGTCTTCAGTGCGGTTGATGGAGACAGGTTTTCCAATCTTAGAGTTACCAATCATACTCAGAACTCCAGAGAGTAAAAGACAACAAACAACTCTACTTCAACCTCCACTACGACACAGACTTGCAGGATCAGCAGATGGGAATTACAGCCTCGCACTGTCTGCTGAATTACATGGGTCCTTCCTTTCAAAAGGCAACTGGATAATGCTTGAGTGTTTGAGGGTACTCCATCAACAACCTGTAAGAATCCTCTCCCCTTTATATAGCACTAGTTATCCTACACCTTGTTGAGAAACATTACAACTAACCTACACATTGTGCACACTACTCTCTGAGATCACAACCTTTTCATTGGAAGAAACTAGGAAGACACCTCACCTGGGTTGATGATCTCATCATCCTCACTGAAAGTCACCCGCGAGTTCTTCCTCTTCCTCTTTGGTCTCTGAATGTCGAGATTCCCCTCCTCAATGGTCAGGGTGGAAATCCGCTTGTTGTGGGCAGTGTTGAACTCTGTCAGGTTCTGGGCCAGGGTTCACACAAGACAGACAGGAGTCAGTACACAGGAAATCTGAAGGATACTATTAACAAGCCTCTTTTGACAGACTATGGAACATCCTCACTGACTAGTAGGGGCAGTGATGGTCACAAAGAGATGAAAAAGAACCTTGGATTGAGAATAGGTTGTCTGTGCAAATATCTTTGAGTTGAGGTTCTGTGTCTTGGGGGGAAAGAAAGACTATCATGTATTCATGCTGCGAATTAAAGAATGTGACCAGAATGAACTCCCTGAACTGCCTTCAAGTAATGAAACAGAGATGAGAGAGGGCAACTGACAGGTTCTTTCCCGGCAGCCCTCCCCACTAAAGCTCAGAAGTACAGGACCAGTGCATTTAATATTTGGCACTAATAGTTTGTCACTCCCTGTCCCTGTATATGGCCCCATTTCTATTCATAACCACCTATCTATTTCAATGATTAACTTGGCCTCAGCACTGCGCCTGCCTCTTCCCAAACCTCTGGACTTATTCCAATCTGCACTGCAGTCAGAGACATTCCAAATGTCTTGAGAATCAAGACCCAGGGAGGACCTAACAAACTGAACCTAAAAGACAGGGAAGCACAGAAGCAACCTGGAGGAGAAATGGGTAAGAGTGACTGTCAGCAAGGTGCCCTGCTATGAGGCTACTTCTTTTGAATAAAGTAACTTCTAAATTATAACAATTCTGCTGTACTTTTCTTCCCAAGAGCTGGGAAACTGCCTTGATGAACAACAGGTAAATTCATGAGGAAAATTAAGGACATGCTGGCATTTGGTCCACCTGAATAGACCAATCACACCAGTGTAGCGACAGACATGTAAAGGACAACAGTCGCATCACAAACCACTGGGGCTGGCCTCTAGAAAAGGAAAACTTTAGCACTTTAAAATTACATCTTATAAAATTCATGGCCTTTGAGGGCAGCCAGGCCTCTAAGACCAAAAGCAGCCTAGTTCTATTCAGAAGATTCTTAGGTTATTTGAACCATATCAAAAAAAAAACAAAAACAAAAACAATGTAATTGAATGAAAGCTTCAGTTTCTCTAAGCCTGTGCTATCCAACCAAGCTTTCTGGGTGATGGAAATGTTCTATATCCTTGCCATTCAATATGGTAGTCACCTGTCACATGTAACTACTGAGTACCAGAAGTGTGGTTAGTAGCTACTGCATCGGACCGTGCAGCTCTAGAAATGTAACTCCCAGCCTTGGCTTCTAATATCCAGTGAGGATGCAGAAACGACCATGAAGGTCTACTGTTAGGAACTCCTTGTGAGGTCTGGCTGGACACAGCCAAGTGCACACAGCACAGCTGTTCCAGGTGTGTCACATCAGGCCACAATGTCCTGGCAAAATGGCAAAGCTCACTACTGGGCTCAAGAAAACCTCCTGATCCTAAGTCACTGGTATTTCAAGCTACGCAGAATAGCTACATACTGCAAAAACCAGAGTCCCAGGGGATCCCTGGGTGGCGCAGCGGTTTAGCGCCTGCCTTTGGCCCGGGGGGCGATCCCGGAGACCCAGGATCGAATCCCACGTCGGGCTTCCGGTGCATGGAGCCTGCTTCTCCCTCTGCCTATGTCTCTGCCTCTCTCTCTCTCTCTCTGTGTGTGTGACTATCATAAATAAATAAAAATTAAAAAAAAAAAAAAGTTAAATCTTAAAAAAAAAAAAAAAAAAAAAAAACAGAGTCCCAAAAGACAAAATAACGCCATAGACGGATGTGGAATTACATCAAGCTCGGTCTCCTCCTCTGGAAGCCCCAGGAGGCCCTTGAGCTCATCATCCTCTCCACCCATCTTCTCATCTCCCTTCACAGCTGACGGCAGTGTCTGAGGCTTCTCACGTAGAGTGTAGGCCCTTGTGGATGCGCCAAACGAGACTGTGGAATCGATGGGAATTTGCTGAGGCTTGTGAGGTTCCAACCGAATGTGACCCAAGAAAGTGCCGTGTGCTGGGAATAATCAAATCAGAAATATAAGAGAGAAAACAGAAACAAAAACCAACCGGAGTTGTAGGAGGGTGAGTAGCTCCTCCCAGCACATTAGTTTTGTTTTTTTAAATGAAAATAGCACTGGGTCCACTTTGCATCTCTTGTCATTGGTCACAATGAAAAGGGAATTCTTCACTGAGTCTTAAATCTCTTCACTGGATTTCTTACACATCTTCGGACCTGTCCTTACCCCATATAACAAAGACCACTGCTTGCTCTCTGCTGCCAGACAGCTTTGGCTTCATTCTGGGTCCAGGAGAAATGGCTCCAACCCAGCAACAGCCATGCCCCACAAGGCAGAAGACAGACATTGCTGTGCTCTGACCTCTCCAGCCCCAAGTATAAGGAATATAAGAACTTCTGGTCTGGTGGCAGTTATATTTGGGTTTTCTCCAGGACAATAAAGGATGTTGGCTAAAACAGGCCCAATATGAATGCCAAGAAAAGCCAAATTCCTACTGGAGAGTGTGAATATTTTTCCATGTCTGCATTCTGCATGTTATAAAATGGAGAGAAAAGATGAGATAAATTTGCAAGTAAGTACTTGTGAGACAAGGCGCCATTATATAAGCAGATTGTGTGTGTGTGTGTGTGTGTGTGTGTGTGTGTGTGTGTTAGAGGAGGGGATAAATAGCAGCACATGATCAGCCCAGGAGCAGGGGACTTTACACTTGTTTTTTTAATTTAAATTCAATTAGCCAACATATAGTACATCATTAGTTTCAGATGCAGAGTTCAATAATTCATCAGTTGTGTGTAACAACCAGTGCTCAGCACATCACGTGCTTTCCTTAATGTCTGTCACCAGTTACCCCACCCCCTACACCCCACCTCCTGAGCCTTTACATTTTACACTCTATTGATACATGGGCAGAATGAACAAAGTTTAGAGCCCCATGCAGTTAAGTCTCAATTGCTTTTCTGGGATTATCTTTGGCTAAGTTGAAAATCTTAACTTGGAATATGCTCATGGAATGAAAATTGGTATTATTAGCAAGTCAAAGCAAAATGTAGCTGGAATAAAGAACCCATCATAAAAAAATTAAATTTTGCTGAAAGCAAGTATTTTTTAATGTTCTGCACCACTAATTCTAATACATTAATGGAGCCCTCCTTAGCTTCTGCTTTAACTGGACAGTTTTACTGCAGTCCTATAAACACCTGAATTCCCATAGCCCCTGGTTCCTGGGTATCTTTTTTTGGGTTCTCTGAATATACCTATTACCTTTTCCAGGACATGACTCCCCAAAACCCTCTTCTCTCTCCAGTCATCAATTATTTCAGGAAAATAAGAGATACCCCAGAAAGAGAGAAGAGCTGATTTAAAAATCAAACATAAACTTCTTCCCTGATAAACAATAAAACATGATTTCAAAACTGAAGAACCCAAAGAGCATTTTCACATTACCCCAAAGGGAATGTGTGAAAAAAGGACAGGATGTGAGTTACTTACTACTGTTGAGATCTATTAGGAAAACTCTCTTCAGATGCTTGTGGTAGACCAAGGCAGCGTGGACCCGAGAGCAAGACTGGTGGTCAATGGTAAAGTCACACAAATCAGGGTTTCTCCCAAATAAGTAATACTTCTTCTCATCAATAATCAGTTTCTAAATAAATATTAAATTAAATATTACTTAAATCTTGTTTCAACAGGATTTAACAAAAATTCTTCTAATCTAGTAAGCAGAGAATCTTGAATAGATAAAATTTCTTACCAAGGTAAAAACAAAACTATTTCCCACTATTCTTCAAGATAAAGAGCTCAGAACAATTTACTAGCATTTTTGGGGGATGGATGGCAATTAATCTCCCCAAATGCAGTGGTTTAATGTCTTGTGTTGGTATGAAAAGAACTTTTCTTAATTCTATTAGATGAATGTGGCCTGTGGGAGTAGCTATCTTCTATCCATTGGGAATTTAAGATTTCACTGGATCTTAATTTTAGGTCAACCAGGAAACAAGTACAAAGCATGTCCACAGGGCAGCCGGGGTGGCTCAGTGGTTTAGCGCTGCCTTCAGCCCAGGGCATGATCCTGGAGACCGGGGATCAAGTCCCACGTCAGGCTTCCTGCATGGAGCCTGCTTCTCCCTCTGCCTGTGTCTCTGCCTCTCTCTCTCTGTGTTTCTCACGAATAAATAAAATCTTAAAAAAAAAAAAAAAGCATGTCTACAAAGTAATAAAACTGCTGTTTAGAAAATTTACATTCAAATGAGTATTAACAATTGATTAGGAAAGGAAAAGGGTATAAATACTTATGCATATTTTAATCATGCTGCCATAGCCCCAAAGTATTTTCGGAACCCTCTTTAGAAAGTGCAATTACATTGGATATCATTGTATGAGCACCTAAATCTAACTCCATTGGCTACAAAAAAATATTATTCTAAGTTAACTCTACATGAGTATCTGCTGTGTCAAAACAGAGAACTACTTCATGGGGCAAAGACTGTCTAGGTTTGGGGGAGAAACGTATCGGAGTTAACATGTATTGACAGACTATTTACTGCTAGGCATTTTTATTTTAATTTTATTTATTTATTTATTTACGATAGTCATATATATATATATAGAGAGAGAGGGGGGCAGAGACAGAAGCAGGCTCCATGCACGGGGAGCCTGACGTGGGATCTGATCCCGGGTCTCCAGGATCGCGCCCTGGGCCAAAGGCAGGCGCCAAACCGCTGCACCACCCAGAGATCCCTACTGCTAGGCATTTTAAGCATGAACTCATCTAATTTTCAAAACATCTCTGTGAAACAAGTATCACCTCTACTGTTAAAGACAAGAAAACAGATTGAGAGAGATGAAGTCACTCATCCAAGATGGCTCTGCTGGTTAAGTAGCAGAGCTGGGATTTGAACTCAAGTGTTAATGACCTGCATGCAATGCCATTATTCTAAACAATGTGCAATGGGTCTAAAACAATTCTAAGAGCTCTAAAATGTTTCTAGACACTGCTATGCCACTAAAAAGAACCCAAAACTATAGAATGCCCCAATATCATAGCAGAAAGGAGGATTTCACAGACCAGCAGACTATTAGTAAAAAAATTATATGGGGAGAAGAAGCTGATGTAACATCGTTAACTTTTTATTTTGCCAAATAAGGACATTAAAAAAACTGTCACCAATTAGTATCATCATAATCATTTTATAAAAGAAAGGTCATTTCAACACCAGATAAGTAGGAAGAGTAAAGATAAAGGACATTCTCTGAGCTCATTTTAGCTTTATGGAACACTCACAATATTGTCCTTATTTTTCTTTTAATTAAAAAAAAAAAATTCATTTAAGTAATCTCTAGACCCAACATGGGGCTTGAACTCACAACCCCAAGATCCAGAGTTGCATGCTCCACCACCAAGCCAGCCAGGTGCCCCATTCTTATTTTTCTTTTAATCCTGGATCAGTAAAGCCTTTGCTGATTGGTTGTAGATTGGGCTGTTATAGATGAAGGATTCTAGATGAATTATTGCTAACACTTCTCCCAGTTCTAGAAATCTACAACTTGACCACTCAAGAATATGTTATGTTTTTCCTTTACACACAATGTCTCCTTAAGCTCTAGTTCATATTTCACACTACACTCCTCCTAAAATCCCCAAGAGAAGATAGCACAAAGCTGAGTAAAGAAATAGTCAAGTTAGGGCAGCCCGGGTGGCTCAGCGGTTTAGGGCCGCCTTCAGCCCAGGGTGTGATCCTGGAGACCCGGGATCAAGTCCCACATCAGGCTCCCTGCTGCATGGGGCCTGCTTCTCCCTCTGCCTGTGTCTCTGCCTCTCTCTCTCTCGATGTCTCTCATGAATAAGTAAATAAAATCTTTAAAAAAATTTAGAAAAAAAAAAAGAAAGAAAGAAATAGTCAAGTTAGTATGGTACCAGGCTAGGACTCAAGAGGCTTAGATTTCATTCCTAGCTGTGTCACTGAACTCGCAGTGGGCCACTATTCTCCTCTATGTTTTAGTGTTCCCCTTATGAATCCAGAAATATACCTCAAACTGATACTGTAACAACTGCTGAGCACTTAAGTGCCATACACTATGCTAAGTTTCCTGCTGTCACTTCATCTCCACAACTACTCTGTGGGGTGGGTCCATACTTTTATTTTTATGATGACGAAATTGAGGCAAATTCGACAAAGAAAGTAAGTAACATATTCAAGTTCACACAGCTAAACACAGTAGTTGCCCCCTTATCCATGGGGGATACATTGCAAGATCCCCAGTGGATGCCTGAAACCTCATATAATCTCAAACCCTATATATATTGGGTCTTTTCCTATACATACATATCTATGATAAAGTTTAATTTATCAATCAGACATAGTAAGAAATTAACAATAGAATAGAACAATTATAACAATATACTGTAGTAAAAGTTAAGGTGAATGTGGTATCTCTCTCAAAATATTTTATAGTACTGTACTCACCCTTCTTGTAATGATGTGAGATGATGAAATGCCTATGTGATGAGATGAGGTGAGGTGAATGAAACCGGCACTGTGACACAGCATGAGGCCATTACTGACCTTCTGACAACATGTCAGGAGGATCATCATCTGTGTCAGTACTTGAAACCATGGGAAGCAAAACTGGATAAGGGGGGACACTATTGTATTTGTAAGCTGGATTAGAAACTCAGGTCTGTCTTACTTGAGTCCAAGCTCTTTTAAGCACTACATTATAGATTTTCTTCACTCTACCTACATAAAAAAAAATGCACCATAAGGCAAGGAACATTTTAAGAAATGAATAAGAACTATGGGTCACATTCTTAATTTTTCTGTTACCTATCACTTATCTAGTCTCTTTCAAGTTTAGCCTTAAGGCTCAATTGGTTCAAGCTAGTCTAGGTATGTGGGTCACCTTTGGGAAACTGTCCCATAGTGCCCATATGCTGCTAGCAGAGCCTGTCCCAGGTCCGTACCACTATGGAGCACCAAGATTTAACAACAGCCTGACAGCTCAATCAAACATCCCCATGTCATCTCCAAATTAAGATTTGGGTTAAAAATAAGACATTAATTTAGAACTGAGAGAGCCCTGAAATTTCAACATTTTGTTCTCTCCAGCTAGTGTCTACACAGGCTGAATCTCATGGCATTACTCATTCATATTTATATGCACGCAGATTATGTCTGCAAAAACTTAGATTTGCTAACTACATCGCTCATAGGCTAGTCTCAAGGAAACAATGTATAAGATCACCCACTCCTGGGTTCTACTATAATACTGACCAAATTTCTATAATTGTAAAGAGCCAAAGACATACCAGAGATTTAAGTATTAAGAGAGGGGAAAGAGGAGAAAGGGCCTCTAAATTAAATACATATATACATTCATTACTAAAGACACCTCAATTACAAAATGTTCAAATATATGAGGATAATAGTATGTTTTAGAAACAAGGAAATGAGGACGCCTGGGTAGCTCAGCGGTTGAGCACCTGCCTTTGGCTCAGGGCGTGATCCCAGGTCGGGGGATTGAGTCTCACATCGGGCTCCCTATAATAAGGAGCCTGCTTCTCCCTCTTCTATGTCTCTGCCTCTCTCTCCCTGTGTCTCTTACGAATAAATGAATAAAATCTTAAAAAAAAAAAAAAAAAGAAGGAAATGTGTTAATTCTTCAACAATGTCAAGTGAATGAAATAATGCACTGGCCTTTAAAAGTCACTAACACCACAATTTCTTCACTAGGTATGGCTAATACCACTATCCAGTTGTGCCTCTGAGTTATAACTCAGAGTGTGTCTTTACACACTGGGCTTAAAAGACTCATGGCTTTTGTTTTAATATTGCACTTCTTAAACCCAGCTATCACAACACATCACAAGCCTTTGGCACAAGGCTAGGATATAGATAGCTCGGTTAGTATCAAGTGCTGCCTAAATCCTTAAAAATAAGCACATCTTATGTCTATTCCTCTCAGAAGCAATACAGTGATGTCTAAGTATTGTAACTTGACAATTGTATGGCAATTCAGCATACCTAAGAGCACTAAAAGAAAACATGATCAGTTAATGGAAACCAGTAATCAGAGGGGTGTCTGACAAATTAGAGTGCTTTGAAAATATAAATTATTTCACAAAGGAATGTGATATTAGCATTAAGGCTATGCCTCATTGTCTGCTTCCTTCTATTGCAAATTAAAGATTTACTTAATCTAGTAACAAATCCCTATACATCTTCAAAGCTTCATGTTATTTAGCAACCATATTTTATAGAATAGTTTATAGTAAAAAAGATTTTACAGACATTTTAGATAATTATTTCCTTGAACAACCTGGATGTTTTAGAGCCTTTAAGATAAAAGTATCCAGGACAAAAGGCCTCTTTAAAGAGACTGGCAAAGGGCATGATGAGTTAACAGAATTCCTCACAACTCCTACCTTAATACTTTACAAAACATCTGGGTCTCCTTCAGGAGATCTCACAGATGGCTTAACCATGGAATATCTTGATTTTTGCTATACATGCCAAAGAAAAACAACTGCATTAAATAACAGGGCCTTGAACCTGAATTCTGAGTAAGTAAACATAAAACTGCTCTAAGACATGGAGACTCACAACTCCATGGTCATACTGGGCTTAATCTCCATTTCTTGGTAAGTAAATGGTACCATGAGGATTAAAAAAAAAATGTATACAACCTAATAGCTAATCAAAATACATGAAGTTCCATGTGATGTTCATTCTAAAAACTTGTATAAAAGCTGGAATCCTGCTAAACTTTTCCTGTTTAGTACTTATTTCAATCATAATCGTGTAATTTTTGTGTGACTGTGTTTCCTACCAGATAATCTGAAGATAGAAACCATGTTTGATGTGTTAACTGCTGTAGTCCCTCTGCTGAGTACAATGACTGGCACACAGTAAGCATTCATTCAATAAGTGTTTTGAATTAATGAATCAGTTTCATCACCATGCCATTCTCTTTTTTGAGCAAGCATCTTAGCTTACTATACTTCTTTGAAGGGCCTGGGCCTGAATTGCATAAATGCAACTTAAAAGTGAAACACAATCTACATCATTCTTTCTTCTTCAGTTACTGCATATCTTGGAATTTCTATACAACTCCATATACTCAGAGTTAGAATTCACAAAGTCCAGTGTGATGGGGATGTATAAGCCTATGATCAATTAAAATCCTTCATCTGGAAGGTGAGAGAAGTCACAAAAAACTCAGTGTCTGTGGGAGATACCAGGTTTGAATGTGTTATATCACCATGTGCTTTTAATAGGAAAAAAAAAATCGGGATGAACGAAAGTAGCATTGCTGGAAAACAAAGCACAGGAGAGGGGGTGGAAAAGTGAGTCATTGGCAAAAATGTTTAGTGTGATGAGAAAAAAAAAAAGAAGACATGTATTTCCATACCTCAATTAGCTTGTCTCCTTTGACTACATCCAGATGTAAACCAGGTGGGGGTTTACCTGCCCTGAAAAATAAGAGTGAGAAAAGTATTTTCAGCATAAGTTTGTAAATGCCATTTACAATCACTGTCCCATTCAACAATGCAGCTCTCCTACCAGCCTATAATTAGTTCATGTTCAAGCAGAAATGTCATCTACTTCACTGTTATTACAGCTCCTTTCTACATTTGACACTTCCCCAGTGATTCAATTGCTCTAAAACAGACTTTACTGGATCTGTATTTAGAGCAGCACCAAAGAAACCTATATTTTAACACTGAGTATCTGCCTCAGAGAAAAAGCAGCACAGAGAGTCCAAGTACTATTGCCGGGGTAGTCTGGTTACTTAGAGTTTGAATCTGATTTACCAGGACCACTAATACCACATAAAGGTAGAATATATCAGTTGATGTTTGGGGCTGATCAAGATTAGTCTCATCACAGAATAAACATAAGGTTCTATCCTGAGCTTTGAGACCAAATCAGAGGTGCATATTTAGGGGGCTAGGGCAATCCAAAAGCATGCCCATAAAACCAGGCACCAATAAATACAAGAGATATTTGTTACCCTTGAACAGGTCTTTCTACAACGGCATGTTTAAGGGGAACTGTTCTCTATATTTCTATAATACCATTCAAGGTATTGTATGATATGTCAAAGCACCAAACAGTGCCTGGTACATACCAGACTCTAAAGAAATGGTAGGTGATTCTCAAATAGTCCCTCCCAAATATAAGTTTACGGATCTGGTCTAACTACTGAAATCAATGCAGCAAGGGACCAAAACGGACATACAATTTGTAGACTGAAGCAACTGGGTGGAAAAAAAACCAAAAACCAAAAACCAAAAACGCAGAGGGACCCAGAAAACAGCCACACTCTCACTTGCTTCTGACCTTTGCTCCTTTTAAGTTTGAAGAAAGAACAATCTTGCCAGAGTCCCTACATTTGCCCCCCACCGCCCCGTGCGCGCGCGCGCGCGCGCGCGCACACACACACACACACACACACACACACAATACGCATCCTCATCCTCTAACTGAAGATGCAACATAATAATCTCACAATCCTGCCCCAACTCCTCTATGGCAGCTGCTGAAAGGACAGTGCATTCGACAAAAGCCCATTTTGTCCTGAAAAGGGAAAGGAATGTTAAATGTTACATCCAAAACATGCTTTTCTGAACTCCTACTATGTGCCTGGCTTAGGCCTGGGAGCTGGGAACACAAAGATGCATCAGACAGCCCTTGCCCTTGAGGATCTCAAATATAGTGGGAAAGGGAAACGCATAATGCATAAACTGTGATGAGCTACAGCAGAAATAGCTCTAACTCGGACGGTCTCCTTGTAGGGCAATTCATATTTATTCACCTCATACTCCGCTCAAAGACTAAATTAAATCGTCCCATTATTTCCGAGAGCTTGAAAGGGCTTGAAAGGGGTTCATCCCAACAATTACTGATGCCCGCTTGTGTCCGGCTGCGAGGTGGGTCAGAGCCGTCCCTGCCCTCAGGGCGCTTCTAGTCTGCGGGAAACAAGTACCGCACGGGAGATGCGGCGACCACAGAGGGATGCGGGGCACTGAGCCTGGGCTGGGGCCGGGAAGCTGGCTCGGGCGCGCTCGGGACGGAGAGCAGCGGGGCAGGTACGGCGCTCCACAAGAGCACCAGGCACTCAGGAGTTGGGGTAAGTTCGCGGCCAAGGCCCCGAAGCGCCCCGGCAGCCGGCTGGTCGCCCAAGGGACTGCCTAAGCGAGCACCTCAGAGCCCCCAAGTCCGGGTTTCCTCAGTTTCTGGGCCCGGGCTCCAGGCTCCCGGTTCCTCCACACGCCGCCCGGCCCGACGGACAGTTCTCCCTCAATCAGTTCCAGGGTCTCTGAACCGTTCGGGTTGCTGCGAGAAATGAGTAGCCCCGCCAGTCCGGGCCAAGCCAGGCCAGGCCACTCCAGCCCTGGCCGCCCCGCCACTCACCAGGTCGGACAGTCGAACAGCGGGAGGCTTGAGCCGGAGTTCGCGGCTGCCGCCATCTTGCGTCTCCCCCTCCCATTTGGCGGGCCCTAAGCACGCCGGGAAACTGGAAGACCCAGAGGGGAGAGGCGGCATCCCATCAGTCTGTGCGGACGCACTCGCGCGCGCGCACGTACACCTACGCACGCACGGGACGTGTCTGAGTGGTAGTGGAGGCTGGGGACTGACTTTTAAGTTCTTTTTCGGTATTTTGAGATCGCTGGCCTTCTCTGAAAGTCTTGGCAGGCTAGGGCTTTCCTTGGCCGGGAGGTGTCTAAGGAAAGGGGCTTGTAAGAAGGTGGATCAGTCTCCCTGTGTTCTCCAGACACGCTCCTGGGCTCTAAACTCTTGGGACCCTGCCCTTGCACCATCAGCGTTTCCACCCCAATCTGGAGAGAAGCTAGAGGGCAGAATTTAAGAGAATGGGGTGATCATTTCTCTTCTTCTGGACCTTCTCCGCAGAGCTGCATGCACGCTCTTCCCCTTTCTAATGCAAATCTGGGTCTGAGGATTTCTGTAGATTGTCTGGGAGGCCACTTTAGGGGATCATCTAGTTTATGAAAACTGGACAAACTGCAGCAAAGGATCCTATTAGAAGGAAGACGTCAAAATCTTAACTGTGCATGAATGAAATAGTTAAACTGTGGCCCCTTTGGATTTTAAAATTTTGGTCATAGTCATTAGATAATGCAAGGAAACGCTGGGATTCAGGCCTGCCCTAGGCCTACCGCTGTCTGAAAGAGACCAGTAGCAGGGTGTCTGGTTGTAATGGCTTTATGGAGTGCTGACTTAGCTGGGCAAGTAGGTGTTTGTTTTTGTTCTTGTTTTTTTCAAGTAGATGTTTTATATAGATCGTCTCATTTAATTCTCAAACACTGTTGAGATAGGCATAACGATTCCTGAGGGGAGGCTCAGAGAAATTGAGTTACCCAGTCTAACCCTAGAACAAGTGGTGAGTGGGATTCGAACCTAAATCTGTATGATGCCAAAGGCGATGCTTTTAAATCACCACTGTCTCTTATACTTAGATGTTGGTACAGTTAGATTTGTTATTAGCACACAACTGATTCCCAACACTTTCATTTTTGTAGAAAACATGAGAGGATCACCTGGCCTTTTTTAAAGACACCAATTGCAAAATTATTGTTCACCCAAAAACAGGCACTGCACCACAAGTTATCTTTATGATGGAGTTACTTTTCTTGATTCCCTGCCACTGGTCCTTTGGATTTTTAAATCAAACATCAGCCTGATGTTTGCCCTTTTGACATCTCCAAGGCATCAAACTTTAACTGCAGCATTATATTAACTTGGATTTTTAAATTCTTAGGCAGGCAGAAGACTCATCTCTTCCTCTGACCTTCAAAAGCACAGTAAACTTATCCAGCAAGGATGCTGATTGGATCACTTATCAAATGGCCTGTTAATACCCTCTTTTCCAGACATGATTCCAAAAACCAGGCTTATAAGAAAAATACACATTCTAAACTTAGTTTCAAGAAAACAGGCTATCAGTCGTCCTTTGAGCACAAGTACATGATTCTTGAGAAGGAATTATTCTCAAGTGTTTTGAGTGTACAGAAAATCATGAGGTATTTTTATCTACAGAGATTGTCCAGGACTTTTAGGTTCCATGCCCTTTTCAGGCATAAGGTGGTACTGAAGCCACTTCTAGGTAACAGTGGCATAACATCTTATCAACTCTGCCTTTCAATTACTCAGTTTCTGTCTGTAGTCCATTATTTAATTCCTTCTAGTGCTGATTACACACCTAAGAAACCTAAAGCTATATTCTTACCCTTATAATTCTTCACTCCTTGGCCATGTTTCTTGTTTCCAGCACAGCTGACATTCACACTGGCTTCTGATGTAATGGCACCTTACATTTACCTAGGTCTTATAAAGCAAAATGCTCTTTGTTTGGGCGCCAATGATGTCAGTATAGATCAGCAAACTGAAGGGCAGCAGTCCCTGAAATGGAAAGCCTGATGGGCCAGCTGCCTTGGGATTTTGGTATCTCAACTAAGATTAATTTCTTCGACTTTGAGACCTCTGTAGAAGAGAACCTAGAAATATTAGAAGCATATTGATGTCAGAAAACTTTCTTAAAACATCTTTTATTTATGAGTGATCAAATGGAGATGCTGAAAAAAAATTGTGATTGTAAATGGATACTACAAACAAGAGGCTTCATTTAGCAGGGTGGTGAATGAAAAGTTCACAGGGTGCTGACCAAAGAAAAGATTGGGCAGAAATTGTCACTACTCCAGGTTTTTAGAGAATGCTTCATGAAAGAGGGGGGGAGCAGGACAGTTCTATCAGTGATGCAAAAATGCAGTGTAGTATGTCTCAAGGTGTGGATTTAAAGTCTGAGTGCTTGAGATCAAATCCTGGTTCCATCATTCCTAAACTGTGTGGCCCTATGGGCAGATTACTTACTATGCCTCATTTTCCTGATTCATAAAAAGGAGGCAGGAACATATAAATTTTATATTTAACATAGTAAGTTACTGGTAGTAAGGGCTCAAATATTTTCACAAATGACCATGCACATGTAGAGCATTTCCTCTAGCCTTTAAATTCTTGTATTAGACTACCATTCCTGGCCTCAGCTGCTTCAATTGTAAAGTGATGGGCTAGTCTAAATGAGTGTCTCATAGACATTAAAGATGTCATGGACCAGGGGGAAAAAAGTAATACAGTGGTGCCAACTTTTATTTTGTCAACTAAGGAGATTTAAAAATGAAGACTTCTGACATCACCACCTATTCATTTTTATAGTCTTGAAATGTCCTTTTTAAAAAGTTGGAAGGTCAAATTATTTCAGACTCAAGACAGTACTTTAAAAAGCCCACTACAGTTTTCTCATTTCTTCATGGGCTGGTCAAAACTTAGTCCATAATCAGAATCCAACATTAAAAAAATCCTATCATTTCAAGTTTACCTCTTAAAAATTAAGTGCTACATTGTAGTCAACCAAATTTCATTTTGCTTAAGTATTATTTTTTTAAAAGATTTTATTTATTCATGAGAGAAACAGAGAGAGGCAGAGACATAGGCAGAGGGAGAGGGAGAAGCAGGCTCCACACAGGGAGCCTGATGTGGGATTTGATCCTGGGACTCCAGGATCACGCCCTGGGTTGAAGGCGGTGCTAAACCACTGAGCAACCCGGGCTGCCCTTGCTTCAGTATTAAAATAAACTACTCAATTGGCCTAAAAGTAGATCAGGTGTTGGGTATCAAAACCCTTCACACTATATCCTAGTTAAATGGAGAGTCTAAAGTTGTAGAGAGAGAGAGAGGCAGGCAGAGAAGATATTTGCTAATGATATACCCAATAAGGGGTTAACATCCAAAATATATAAAGAACTCATGCAACTCAATATAAAAAAAAATTCAATTAAGAAATTGGCAGAAGACCCGAGTAGACATTTTCCCAAGGAAACAGATGGTTAATAGACACATGAAAAGATACTTAACATCACAATCATCAGGGAAATACAAAGCAAAACCACCTGAGGTATCACCTCACACCTGTCAGAATGTATCAAAAGACAAGTATCAAAAGACAAGAAATAGCAAGTGTTGGTGAGAATGTGGAGAAAAGGGAATCCTTGTGCACTGTTGGTGGAATGTAAATTGGCATAGTCTCTATGGAAAACAGTTCGGAGTTTCCTCAATTAAAAATAGAAAAAAATAAAAATAGAACTACCATATGATCCAGCAATTCCACTTCTGGGTATTTATCTGAAGAAAATGGAAACACTAATTCAAAAAGACATATGCACCCCTATGTTCATCGCATTATTTACAATAGCCAAGGCATGGAAGCAACCCTAGTATTCATCGATAGATGAATGGATAAAGAAAATGGGGTAAAAAAAAAAAAGAAAATGGGGTACATATACATATGCAATAGAATATTAGCCATGAAAAAGAATGAAATCTTGCTATTTTGACATGGACAGACTTAGAGGGTATTAGGCTAAATAAAAATAGGTCAGGGGCACCTGGGTGGCTCAGTGGTTGAGCATCTGCCTTTGGCTCAGGTTGTGATGCTGGAGGTCCTGGGGTCGAGTCCCGCATCAGGGCTATGTCTCTACCTCTCTTTTTCTCATGAATAAATAAATTAAATCTTCAAAAAAAAATAAAATTAGGTCAGAGAAAGACAAATGCTTTTCACTTTTATGGAATCTAGAAAACAAAACAAATGAAGAAAGCAAACAAAACAGAAACAGACTCATATATACAGGAGGCAAACTGCTGGTTATCAAAGTGAGGAAGGATCAGAGGCAGACAACATAGGTGGATTAAGAGGCACAAACTTCCACTTATAAAATAACTCATGGGGATATATAGCATAGGTAATATCAATAATGTAAAAACTCTGGTGACAGATGATAACAAGACTTCTGTGGTGGCCATTTCATAATGTATATAGATATCAAATCACTATGTTGTATATACTTGAAACTATCTAATATTGTATGTCAACTATACTTAAATTTTAAAAATGGAGGAGCAGGACCCCTGGGTGGCTCAGCAGTTGAGCGACTGCCTTTGGCTTAGGGCGTGATCCCAGTTCGGGGATCAAGTCCCACATCAGGCTCCCTGTGAGGAGCCTGCTTCTCCCTCTGCCTATGTCTCTGCCTGTGTCTCTCATGAATAAATAAACAAATCTAAAAATTAAAAAAAAATGGAGGAGGATTAGGGTGTTTTACTTTGCACTGACACAATGGCAATTCCAATTTGATATGTTTGCCCAATGGTATAAGGCAGTGGTATCACCATCCCTTAGCAAATAAGACAAAACCTGCCCTGGAAGCAACAGTCTAGCAGCTACAAGTTCTTGTTCTGGAACATTCCCAGAGGAAGGGCCCAGAATGACATTTCTGCTTTACTCTATATAGTACTATGTTTTGTTTTAAAGATTTTATTTATTTATTCATGAGAGACACACAGAGAGAGGCAGAGGGAGAAGTAGGCTCCTTGCAGGGAGCCCAATGTGGGACTCCATCACAGGACTCCAGAACCATGCCCTGAGCTGAAGGCAGACACTCAACCATTGAGCCACCCAGAC